ATAGTGGGGGTGGGGCGGAAGCATTTAAGAACTAGAGGAAAATTGTATGTTTTGGCATTTGATTTTTAACAGTATATTCTTGTTTTCATTTACTCTTTGAGAGTTAAGTTATAGACTATTTATTATAAAGTCTCTCTCCGTCATTTTGTATTAAATCTTTTCCCTCAGGTATAAGTTTGTGGAAATGTGTTTTTAAGGACATTATTTTTGCTACTTAGGCAACTTTCATTTAAGAGCAACTTGTCCATAATCAGGAGCCCCGGGGGTGAAGTGGTAATGCATTGAGCTTCCAACCCAAGGTCAGCAGGTTGAAGCCACCTCTGCTCTACAACTGAAAAATGAGACTCTCTACTCTCATAAGGAGTTGCAGTCTACTGTCCTATAGGGTGCCTCTGAGTAGGCTTTGACTTTGTGGCAGTGAATTATTATATTCTTATGTGTATTTACATGGATCTAACATCAACCCCTGTAAAAGTAACAGTCAAAAAAATCAAATGACATGTCACATTAGGCATATTTGCTAGCAAGACATCTTTGAAGTGTTAAAAAGCACAAAAAATTCCATGTTAAGGAATAGATGGGCCTGACCACACTATGGGATTTTCATTTGCCTCATATGGATGTGGAAGCTGGATAATTAATAAGGAAGACCTGAGAAAAATCTATACCTTTGAATTATGGTGTTGACAAAGAATATTGAATAATTCATGAACTGCCAGAAGAACAAACAAATCTATCTTTGAAGAAGTAGTGTAGCTAAGATGGTCCTTAGACACGAGGGTGAGGAGTCTGTTTTCTACACTTTGGACATTTTATCAGGAGGGCCAGTCTCTGAAGGAGGACATTATGCTTGGTAAAGTAGAGGATCATCAATAAAGAAGACCTTCAACAATCTGGAGGAGAAAACAATGGGACCAACGGTTCTGGGGAGAACACGGGAAAGGGGGTGTCAGGGAAAAGGAGGAGGGTCAACCAAGCCAGGGACAAGGGAACAAGTGATCTAAAATAGATGGTGAAGAGGGTATAGGATGCCTGTTGGGGCTTGATTAAGGGCAATGTAGCTGAGAGGAATTAGGGAATGAAGGCTGAACATGATCGTGGGAGAAGAGGAAAGTAAAAGAAAATAGAGGAAAGAACTAGGAGGCAAAGGACATTTATAGAGGCATAAATACAGGCATGTACATATGTAAATATATATATTAAATGATAGGGAAATAGATCTATGTACATATATTTATATGGTAAGTATTAAGGTAGCAGACAGACATTGGGCCTCTACTCAAGTACTCCCTCAATGCAAAAACACCGTGTTCTATTAGACCGGAATTCCATGATTCTCACCTTCCTGACATGATCGCTGAAGACAAAGCGGTGCATAAACAAATGTGAAGAAAGCTGATGACACCCGGCTATCAAAAGATAGTGTCTGGAGGCTTAAGGACTTGAAGATAAACAAGTGCCTATCTAGCTGAGAAGCAACAAAGTCCACATGGAAGAAGCACAACAGCCTGTGTGAGCACGAGGTGTCCATGAGATCAGGTATTGTGCATCAAAGACCCAGAACAAAAAAACCTATCAATATGGATGAGGGGGAGTGCAGAGTGGAGACCCAAGTTGTACCACAGATTGCTGTGAGTCAGAACTAAGTTGATGGCATCTAGTGACAACATTGATATTTAGTTCTTTATTGTTATTCTAATGTAGAGGGGAGTTGAAGGGAGAGGGCTTTTGTAAAATGGTCGATTTGTTTTCTCCTTTCTAAGATGAGTGCCAGGATATGGAGAGGAAGAAGGACTTTGATGTTTTTCTGGTCGTTGGTGATCCAGGACTCACTGATGCTTTGTGCAAAGTTCTGTGTCAATACATATAAATAGTAGTTAGTTCATGAACTACAAGTCAGCATGAGTCTGATTTTCTGTGTTTAAGAGTACAGTACCTCATTAAAGAACTTACTATATTAGGTATATGCCTAAAGGATATTTTTGTTTTCAGCTTTAAATTAGCTCACTTACTAGATTAGTGTTTATTAAATAATGAGCTGATTCATTTTTTAAAGCACACACACACAAACACAGAAATGAAATAAAACTATCAACTCTGAAGATTTCCAGCATTAGACATGACCTTGTGGAAATTAACTAAAAATGCAATTGATTTAGAAAATGTGAAAAATTGAAAACATGAGATTAAATGTCGTAACCTCATAATGTAATGCTAAATGTTCAAGCAATTTGCTGATGTACAGCCATTTCAAATTATATTTTAAATCTTGCAGATAATCTTTTCATCAGGGGAAAGCTTTATTGGCTCATCAGTTTAATAAACAATTCCAGAACTCTGGTGCTTACCTACACTGCATATTCTACTCTGTTGCCATCTCTTCTCATGCAGAAGTACAGTCCATCCTGTCAAGATTGTCTGCAAAGCTGACATGGAGCTATAAAGATGCCAGCGGTTCTCCAGACACTTCTGGATCATCCTTCCAGATGATGTTTGAGGCAGGTTTGGTTGTGGTTCATAAATAACCATTGATGCTATTATTTTTCCACAAATAGTAAGAAATAAGAGCTTTTGTCCAAGTTGACATGAAATAAAACCTTAGTCCCCAAGCTTCCCTGTACACACTTGAATCACCTGGGTACTTCCAAAATATTAATGTCTATATGGTCCTTCAACTGACAGAAAAACCAACTGTGGTCATCAAATTGATTCCAACGTATTGTGACGCCCCAGAATAGAGTAGAATTCCCCCCCATAGGGTTTCTAAGGCTGTAATTTTTACAGAAGCAGACTACCACATCTTCCTTCCCACAGAGCAGCGGTGGGTGTGAAGTGCTGGCCTTTCAGTTAGCCACTGAGCACTTAATCATTTTACCAGCAGGGTGCCTCAGCCTGCTCTGAGAGGTGGTAACTTAATTGGTCTATGAAATAGCCTGTGCTTTGTAATTATAAATAAATAAATCTGGGGATTCTAATGTGCAGGTAAGTTTGGGAACCAGTAAGTCCTTATTTTAATTTGGAGATCCTGAGAAATAAAAGTCCATTTCCAGGGGAAGATCCTGTTTGGCTCTATTTTTATTAAGTTTATTCTAGAGATGTCTTTATTGATTTACTTGAGGTCCAGAGTTACAAGAGTGACTGTACATTCTCCATCCCCTTTATGATTCTCTGACCCTTCCTTTGAGCTGGTGGGTCAGACGTCAAGATTTAGAATACTTACAACATTGACCCAGGAATCATTTGGGAGGGCTCTCTCCATGTGCCCTGTACCTTCTGGAAGGAGCAGGTGCAGTATTGAGACCACAAGTACTCATTCCTGACTGTGCCTTATCTTCTTTAAGGTACTGATGGATCAGCAATCTGGAACAGCTCATGGCTAGTGAGCTCTGAAACTATTAATGCCAAGTGGCAATAAAAAGGTGATTCTAGTGAAGCAAGGCCAGCAATTCAAGGAAAACAAGTTTATGTGTTTCAGCCAGTCTGAACAAGTCGCGGTAATTGTCATACCTGATATTTATATGTATTATTTAAGTCTCCTGACAACTCCAACAGATGGAGAGGACAGAAGTTTTTCCTCTGTTTTACATGGGCATAAAGGTGGACTCTGAGCATTTGATAGACTTCCTCAAGGTCATATGGAAACAAATGGCAAAATTAGAACTTGAAACTATCTCACTCATAGACCTCAGTGCTACTTCAGTATTTAGTCATCAGAGCAGAAACTTGTGTTTGTTCAAGCAGTGACACAGTGCTAGGTATTGAAGGCCCCGGAGGCCTAAGGCATGTTGCCTAAGCCCAAGGAACTTGGGATCTAAAGAGAAAGACAAGTAAATAAGTGATTATGATGCAATGTGGAAAGTGTGCTGTAGGTAAGCACTGAATGCTGCGGTAGCACAGAGCAAGGGCACCTAGCCCTGTACAAAGGGATCAGGTTTAGGAGTCTTGAGATTGGAAACAGGTTTATTGGGGCTGAAGGGATCAGAGACCTGAATTAATAGGAAGTTATCACAGTGATAAAGTTTCTCTTAGGAGTTTTCCCTTATTGCAAAAGAAGTAAGCATATTCAAAGGATTATCCAAATGAACATTTAAAGAACACATAATTTGACCTGTGGAGGTATTAACTATTAACTGTATAACACCTTAGTGTATATCTGTTCAAATTAGAGTGGGGCATTTCAGCTTAAGTTTTGTTTGTTTTGTTTCTTTAACTTTAGATTTAATTTTAGTGCAGTTGATGGACATTGGGCCTCTACTTAAGTACTCCCTCAATGCAAGAACACTTTGTTATATTTAACTATCATTCCATGGTGTTCACCTTCCCGACATGATCGCCAAAGACAAAACAGGTGCATAAGCAAATGTGGTAAACAAAGCTGATGGTGCCCGGCTATCAAAAGATATAGCGTCTGGGGTCTTAAAGGCTTGAAGATAAACAAGCTGCCATCTAGCTCAGAAGCAACAAAGCCCACATGGAAGAAGCACACTAGCCTGTGTGATCACGAGCTGTCGATGGGATCAGGTATCAGGCATCAAAGAACAGAAAATCATATCATTGTGAATGAGGGGGAGTGGGGAGTGGAGACCCAAAACCCATCTGTAGGCAATTGGACATCCCCTTACAGAATGGTCGCTGGGAGGAGATAAGGCAGCCAGGGTGCAGTATAGCACCGATGAAACATACAACTTTCATCTAGTTCTTTAATGCTCCGCCCCCCCCCCCCCGCCACTATCATGACCCCAATTCTGCCTTACAAATTTGGCTAAACCAGAGGATGTACACTGGTACAGATAAGAGCTGGAAACACAGGGAATGCAGGACAGATAAACCCTTCAGAACCAATAATGAGAGTGGTGATATCAGGAGGGGAAGGAGAAGGTGGGGTAGAAGGGGGGAACTGATCACAAGGATCTATATATAACCCCCTCCCTGGGGGACAGACAACAGAAAAATGGGTGAAGGGAGACATCAGACAGTGTAAGACATGACAAAATAATAATAATTTCTAAATTACCAAGGGTGAGGGGGGAAGGAAATGACCTGATACCAAGGACTCAAGTAGAAAGCAAATGTTTTGAGAGTGATTATGGCAATAAATGTACAAATGTGTTTGACACAATGGATGGATGGATGGATTATGTTAAGAGTTGTATGAGCCCCCAGTAAAATGATTTTCAAAAAAATTAGTTCCAAGCTATGGCCATGGAATGCAGGGGAGATCAGGTCACTGGTGAGGAGGAGGTCAAGGCATCGGGCACTGGTCATCTATAGGATGTGAAAGTCTCCCAAGATGATGGGGTGCAGAGGAGAACATGGGAATTGGGTGACTTGAAACCAGTCAGTGATGGAGATTAGGAAAGATCACAGTCGTCCAGCCAGAGGGCATGTGGTTGGAGCCCTGGAGTGGGAGACTGAGAAGAGGCTTAGTAAGGCCTTTCAGGAGCCTAGTGGGAAAGACAGGATTCTTGCTGGGATTGTGGGGATTGACATTCGAAGCTGCTCAGCAGGCTGCCAGGTACCATTATCAGCTCAGCTGGTCAAGACATCTGGTGCTGTCTACTGGATGCAATGCATGCTTAGTCTCCTAAGAGGGAGATTGTTTTCCTCAGGGCTTCCCACTTTGGTTCAAGTTCCTCTTCACACACACTTTAAAAATTGAGGTTCATTTCTGTGTCACTTCCTTGACTGAGGCAGAGCAAGTCTGAACCTAGCTTGTATGCTCTCTCTCTGGCACTGTGCTGCTAGCTCACAGACACTTGAATGAGGAGAGAACAGAAAAGAGGAGGTTATGAAAGTGCTCACTATGCATGGGCCAGTTGGGAAGAAAAACTTAGTGGCAGGGTTTGCAGCAAAGTCTAGTGAATGGAGACTACTGTGAGACAGCTGTAGTAAACCTGCCACTGGAGTGGGCAGTGAGGACACGGAAGAAAACTTCACAGAGGGCTGTGAGGCTGCATGTCTCATGTACACAGAGCTCCACAGCTTGGGGTTCATTGGACTGGCTCATCCCCCAAACCAGACTCACTGCCATCAAGTCCATTCTAACTTTTGGTGACCCCATAGGACAGGTTAGAACTGCCTGTGGGAGTATGGGTCCTTAGGAGTGAGTTCGCAGTTGTGGAAAATGAAAGACAGCAGGGCACAGGGGTTCTTTGTCCCTATGTGGGGACCAAGAGAGTGAATATATTTTCCAGTGCATATATATAATGAGGCTTACAGATCTGTCAAATGGATATATGTCATACAGTGAACATATTACATAGTCAATGGGTAATAACATAATGAGCAGTGAGGTGAATCATCATCTTGACCCTAGTACTAGTTGACCTCAAATGCCCCTGAGCCCTCAGAGGAACAATCTAGATGCGTATCAGAAGAGAGTTTGCTACATTTTACCTGGTCCAGGGTATAGAACTGGATTGCTCTTATCTACAGATAACCTTCAGGCAGAGGGAATCAGCTAGATGCAGGAGCGATTCATCTTTTATGGTAGCTCCTTTATGGCTGCTCCTTAATGGAGGCCTATTGCAGGGGAGAATGTGTACTTGAAGGCATTTCTATCTCGGAACATTAGAGATCTTTCTCCAAACAGGGCTAGTTTTCCATGCCCATGGTTGCAAACGTAGAAGCCCCTGTGGGTTTCTAACACTGTACCTCTTTAGGGAAATAGAAAGCTTAATTTTTCTCCCTCAGAGTGACAGGTGGTGTCAAACTGCGGACCTTGCGGTTAGCAGCCTAGTGTGTAACCCACTATGCCACCAGGGCTCCCTAGACTGGCTCACAAAGACAGTCTGATTTCACAAAATATGCTTGACCATTTAACCTATTTTATATTTTTATCATAATGCTGAGTGAGAGAATAGGGTTCTTATATTGTTGTTGGCTGCCAGAGAATCAGTTCTGACTCATAGCAACAAGCAGAAGAGCTTCAGAGTAGAACTTCCATGGCTGTGATCTTGACAGAAGCAGATTGTCAAGTCTTGTTCCTTCAGAACTACTGGGTAGATTTGAAATGATAATTTTTTTGTTAGCCGGAAAGTGCTTAACTATTGTACCACCAGGGCTCCTTGTATGTATACATACATACATACATACATACATACATACATACATACATGTGTGTCTGTGTACCATATATATGTTTGTCAATGTGTATGTGCGAGGAGTCTCTGGGAGGCTCAGTTGGGTGCTTGACTAGACTCAAAAAGGTTAGTGATTTGTACCCCAGAGAAGCCCTTCAAAGAAAGGCCTGGTGCTCTGCTGCTGACAGGTCACAGCCCTGAACACCCTGAGGAGTGCGGGTCTGCTCTCCCCCATGGGTCCAAATTCATGCTGTTTCAATGGTTCATTTGCTTGCTTTTGTAGATAGATACTGTCTTCTAGAAAGTGTTAGTAAGGATCCATAATACTGCAGAAGTTAGTGTTTTATAAGTATAAAAGTTTCTATGTCTCATCAAATAATCAGACTTGTAGCCCAAGGAGAAGCCCTGGCAGCTTA